CCCTGAGCCAATCAAACAAATTACTAATAGAATAACTTTCAAAAGTTCCCTAAAACAACATATACTGAACAATGTACTTTAATATTTAAATACTAGCTTTATCATATGTATGATACAAATATTATTTGCAGCTAAACTATATTTGTACTTGCCCACAATTGTTCCACTAATAATATGATGTGCAGAGTAGCGCATTAACAGCTCCATTTTTTTTTCTCATTTTTTTTTTTATTTTTTTTTTTATTATTATTATTTTACTTATTTATTTCTGGAGATTTTGTTTTTTGTTTGTATGTGTATGTATGTATGTATGTGTACGTATATATACATATATATATATATATAGCCTGCATAGAAATGTATATTGGTTAGGAATGGGCCACAGACTAGATTAGTTCGGATGAACTACCTCTGTGGTCCACACCAAGAAATTATTATTATTATTAATATTTATTATTAATATAAGATTACTAGAATTGTTATTATTGGTGAAATAAATCATAAATCTAAAAATCATAAATCTAAAGAAAAAATGGCGTGGCAAAAAGTCTGTCTCATTTTCACTTTTTTGTTGCCATTGTTAATTATTTTTGCTTTTAAAATATTTTGGCAGAAACCAGAAATTTGATTGACCCTTTTGAACTAACGCACATGCTGACCTTAGGAAACATACAATTATAACAAAAAAAAAACAGAACTGCAGTTATTAGTAAAGGACAATACAATATTCGATGTATAACATTCCCAAGAGTGATGGAAGTTACCCGAGCATTGTGTTTGGGTCACATAATAAAGTCACATGAAAACAGTTATGAGACAGGTCATTTATGAAAATAAATTTGCTTTTTTGTAAGCAAAATGCTCAAATAAACCAAACAGTACACCACAATTAAACTGACCCTTCAAAAGTATTTATTCTTCCGTAGAAAAAAATATCCGACAACTACGCGAGATCGATTCAATGCTGTACTTTCAATGCAATACTGGCTGATAAGAAATCTGATTAAACAGACATATGGTAGGGGGCATGTACTGCTGCATCTCTTAGTACATGGGCACCCCAGCGGAAGAGTAGAACACTGCCTGATTCCCACTTGGCCATTGAGGTAAACATTGTACTAACTGTCCTTTGCATGGATTTTACCACGCACTAACGCTTCAACTGCATTGACAATTTGTTACGCATGACTGCCTATCACGTACAGCTGTTTCCCTAAAGCATAACACATACAGATAATCCCAGACAGGGAGCTCACATACATTTCAATTTTTAACATGCTGTGATCCTAAGATGAAATCTTGCTTTGTCTAAAATCATAACATTCTCCAAAGAATAATGATTTACGTATAATATGATATGAGGTTATTACAAGAATACCTCAAAGTATATGTATGTAAAAAGACAGTACAG